GACCGATAAGTTTAATACCAATTTGCGGAAATCCAATCTCACCAGATCACCACGTCATACCCTCCCTCCTCTCTGGTTGTCTTCACCCTATCCAGGAGTGGACTAAGTGGATTCTGTTTCTGGAACTCAATCTGCAAATGGATCTGCAACAGTCCTGGACCAGAACAGGACATCCATGAAGGTGATCTCTCCAAAGGTTTCCCTTATTCTCTCTCAGTTTTTCCTTCTGGGTCCCAAATATGCAAAAATGTTGTGACAGATATCAAAAAGCAATCAGTGATGGAGCGGAAACTGGTGGCACTGGGCAGGTATCCATTCGTATCCATTCATGTCTGTGTGAGTCATCCTACACCAACCAAAAATAGCTTTTCCCACCAACAGCTCCGTCAACAGTGTGTTCCTGTTCCAATGCATTCACAATCAGACACTTAGCAACGCAAGCCATAAGGAATGCAGCACCACAGAAATGTATAACTCAAAAGCAGTCGGAAACATCCTCAGTCGGATTTTTCTCCCGGAGCTATAATTATCATCGACCTGCTGTTGTCTGTGGTTATGCATTATTTCATAACCTTTTTCCATTACTCTTCAAACAAATACACAATCAAACATCATTATTTTGTTTGCCTGCCCTGCACTAAATTATTGAGTTTGATGTTAGCGATTGCTTGTTAAAAAGTCAAATTTAAAGACTTTTGAAAGTGCAATGTTCCCGTGATTCCTAAGTTAATGTTCTAAACGTTGCAACACCGGCTTGATCTTACGCAGCAGTGCAGAAACCTCAGCACTTATGGTCCCTGAAGGTGTGGGCCACAAACCACTGGGGCAGCATATTTTCTTCACTTTGAATAATATTAAAGCTTTAAAAAGAACAAAAAAGCAGAAATAGCACAAACATGGAGACAATTATTAATATATACTGGTAACAAATGAGTCTAAGTTTGTATGCTTGCTGTCCTGGTCCTGGACTTGTGTTTTGGTTTAAAACAATAAAAATTACCAAATGCAAAAATGATTGTAGGTTTATAATAGGGGGCTCTGTCAATACAATAAATAATGTGTTTTGTTTGAATAGTTGTTATTTGGAAGGGAACGTAACTCCTGGCTCTTTTAAGATGAAATATTTTAAAAAGGACCCTCTACAATTTTCAGTTTTTATCTTCCGGGAACTAAGGAGTGTGATGCTTTCGTATAGTGTTACAGCAAAAATCGACTGGTTTATTAAAGTTGTGAAAGGATCATTTGGATTCAAGGACCGTTTCAAAAGCAGTGGAATGATTTGGGTCGCTGCATTGATTAGGTCTTTCGTGATTAACAAGTTCTGAAGATTCGTCACAAATATGTTTTATGGGAATAAAATTACATACTCGGACTTTAGAGTAGGGCTGTAATTAACGATTATTTTTTGATAATCAATTAGTTGGCTGATAATTGTTAGTTGATTAGCTGTTTATATCCAGAGAGGTCTTTTATCTAAATTTGACCAAAACAAATCTCAAGTGATGCTCCTGGAGATAACTAGTTACATATTGGGTTGTTTGGTAAAGAAATACTTTGTAAATACATTTTATCTCATTCTGCAGTCAATATTGAGTCCAAGTGAGGTTTCTTCTCTGACAATGCTCGAATCCAGGTTAAAACTTGTCTAGCTGTGCATACAACTGAGGGATTTCATCTTCCCTCTTTTTATTGTAATGTGATTATTTATGATTTTAGTGTTTATTGTTTCCATCTTGTCGAGTTCAGCACATTGAGTTGCCTTGTGTATGAATTGTGCTGTATAAATAAACTTGCCTTGCCATAAAACATCTTCTCAGCCTGTTTAAATCTATGTATAATTAAAAAAAAAAATCCATTAATCGTTTCAATAATCCGTTTTTTTACATTTACGAACAATGTTCATCCCGCTCCTTATGGACCAAAGTTAATGTGTTTGTTTTATTATTGCATTTCCTGTGTTATAATGGATTTATTATGTTGTGGAATCAAAACAATTTTGTAAAGTCCTCCGAGGCGACTGCTGTTGTAAAACAAGGGCTATTTAAAATTGAATTGATTTATCGATTAGTTGCGTCTAATGGATTAACTTGTTACAGCCCTACAATTAATAACCACTAAACAAGACTTGTGCCAATTACATAAACTGTAAAATATGAATCTACTATATCCCTAAAGGCCACCAACCAAATCACCACAGACAAACCACATTCACAAGCTCTAAAGTCCCAGATCTGCTTCTGTGCACGAACCATATTTAAGCATGCAATGTTTATGAGACTTGTAACTCACCAAATCTAGAATATGCAGACATGTTAACTATGCTGTAAATCTGTCAAACAGGGATTCCTTTTTTAAAAACAGAAGTTAGCATGTCATAATTTGAAAAATTAAAAATAAGCCTAAAGCACTTGAACTCACTGTTAACGAAAATCTCATTCTTCACCACTATTACAGACTAAATCCTGTCCGGCTAACATAAACAACACATTCCACTTAGTGTAAGATGTTATTGCTACAATAAATAAGGATGAAGATTCATGAAATAAAGCCATTTTCTAGGAAAGACGGCTTAATCTAATTCTGTTTATAGTACATTTTCACTATGCAGTATTGTGTGGCGATAGGTGAGAAAACATGGTTTTATACTTTGGAATAATGCAGTAATATGATGCAACAACACAACTGTTTTCACCTTCCCCTAATCCAACATACATTTTCTGCAAAGTATAAAAAACCCTTATATCTTACCATTATGCCGTGTCAAGCTATATTTTCATCGTAAAACATAAGCACTTGTTACTGTAAGTGGACCAGGCCAAGCTGGACTGTGCCAGGGCATAAGAGGCACTCAACTCCTGCAGCCAAACAGTGCATTTTAATGTTTTAGGCTGGCACAAGATGGGCATTCAAGTCATGGCAACTAAAGAACAAAGTAAGCAATGTGTTTTATGTGGAAGAAAAACACTTGCATACACAGAATTAACAGCTACTCTTCACAACTGGTCAACACCTTCCACAGAGACCAATCTGGCTGATTGTCCTGGTAGCAAGCAAGTGTCTTTATGGTATGTAGACACTGCGGCACAGAGAAGAGGGACAGAGATTTGTGGTTAGGGCAGAATTACAGTGAGAAAGCAGATTTAAAAGACTGCCCCCCACACTACTGTAATTAAAGTGCAATTAAGGTGAGGTATTCTTAAAAACGAGATGAATGCCAGATTATATGTTTTACACTCTTCTCTGGACTAAAGTTGCGTTACAAACTAGTGGGTGATTGCCTTTTGTAGAAATATATACATTTTCAACAAAGTTCCATCAAATCAATTCATACATTCATATTTAAACAGTGTTTAAGGTAAGATAAGGTATACTTTATTGTCTCTGTAGGAGACAATAAAGTTTCCTCCGCCTTAGAGACACGTTTGAAGAATGCGCTTTCAAAAAGGGTCGAAAAAAAGCAAATGATCCATGTTAATTCTGATTGATCAATATGAGCTCATGGCACAGGTACAAGATGTCCCAAGGAAAACCCATTCTTCCAATGCCATTAGGTAAACATGTCAGCAGCAGCGGTCACACCCAAGGGACCCGTCTCCAGCGGTTGATGCTCGGCTCGGTCAGGTCTACCGGAGCATGAGCAAGCAGAGGAAACCCCCCAGACACTGGGAGGAACATGCAAACTTCACACAGGAGAGCAGACACGGGATTGAACCCACGACCTTCTTGCTGTGAGACATGAGTGCTCTCCACTCACACACTGGATAATGGTTAACAACTCTGATTTTTTGGCCATTATTGTGTTATAAATTGACAGTGTCTTGCATGTGAAGTGAGAGGACCTCGATCATCCCCCTGTGGATTTGAGCAGTGTTTCAGTTTGAGGTGAGAAATATCCCTGTTACCAGTTGCTTGAAACCATAACTGACAGAAACATGGCTGCAAGTCTGTGTCAACAACCAATCACGGCCAAGCATTCACTCATAAAAGGGAGGTATCTGTGCTGCAGAACTTCTATTAACATATTTGAATTAGACAGGAATATTGGAACTTGAAAACAACAAAACCATGAGACAAATACTTTGCACTCAGACCCTTTTCATCTGCTCCACTTAACCTTTCTGCAAAATAGTTCTTAAATAGCTTTCAACTGAACATCAAAGGCTCTGTGCTGGGTCCAATATGAGTGTCTATTTGTTGGTGCAGGCAGAGGAAGAGCGTTTGCCCTCTCATTGCACAGAGGATGACAACAGCACCAGGCTTCAACCCACTCATTAGAACCGCTATTTCAAGAAAAGAACAACCTATAAACGCACATGCCTCCAAAAGAGTGTAAGAAAGATATTCAAGATGACCATAATTAAAAATAATTAGTATTTTTTTCCCTCTATGTATTTTTTGAATGCTAAACAATTGTCTTTGAGCATAATAAAGCATAACAGAATCTCTCTTCAACAAGAAGTGCAACAGTCTCCAGCTTATTTTTTTAAATGAATAGAAATAAATTAGCTCTATGCTTCTGCAATCAGAGCTTCTTGTTTAACCCAAAAAAATCTCACCCTGCCAAGATACACAGAGCAGCCTTTTTACCAGAAAAACAGGCACATCTGAGAATCACACTGCTTTTACCATCCCTATCGGCTACATACGGATGGTAAAAGCATTATCAAGGGATTAATGGATGCTAAAAAACACAAAAACCCCAGCCAGCATAGAGATAACAAGAGTGGAGGGGGTGTAAAATTAAGATGTAAAAAAGAAGGAGGATTTGAGAGGTGGAAGACCCTTCTATAGGGTGTCAAGCATGTACTGTGGGTGTACTTGACAACAACCAAACAGCTCCAAATCCCCTAGGCGCCTTTCGAGAAGCCAAAGGATCTGGGAAAACTGCCGCAAGTGGAGGTTGGTGGGTGGAGAGAGGGCGATATAGAGTGTGTAATGGGGTGAGGGGTGTCAATGGGTGCCCCCTTTTGCTGCTAAAGACAAAAAAAAATGCCATGACATCATCGTATGGCAAGCAGCCCCCCGGGAGGATAGGAGCGCACCCACAGACGCGCATTCTGCCAGCGCTGGGGCCCATCCTCTTCCATCGGATAAGACTTGGGACAATGGGCCACTCACTGAATGTGATCCCCAAATCCCACCGAAAACAAATGAGGGCAGCAGTGTGAAGAGAGGGGAAAAGATGGAAGGAGAGATGAGGAGCGAAAGCCTCTAAAAAAGGCACAAAGCAACAAAGAATTCGGGGGACATGTAGAGCAAGGCAAGTAGAGCTTTGGACAAAACTGGCTTTGTCCAATCATGCTGGTGGGTGGTTGGTTGGTAGCCACATCAACAGAGCTCTCCCAATATATTGATCAGTGGTGAAATCCTGGCAAGCAAAATTAAAAGATCCAGTCGGAAGCGTTGCTCGATGCCGTGGGAGGCAGTTGTTTTTAGCTGCGAGTGGAATAGAGACAGGCTAGAGGCATGATCACAGCAAAAGTAAAAAAAAAAAGAAAAATCTGTTTAATTGCGTTGCTCATCACAGCAGGTTAATACATGGTCATAGGCTTCTCTGGGATAGCAGTGATGTCTGCAAATAAAAGCCATCCCTATTCATAAGCCAACAAATAAAAGAGAAATAAATGAGAATATCGAGAACTCCCATGTCTGCTGCTTTGATAACAACACAAGCAGAAGAACCTGGCTTCAAAATTGGGTTATATTGGCAAAACATTTAAGTTGGAAATAGCAAATAGATAAGTGCTTTGCTGGCAAGATAAAGGGTAGAATTATGCAACTATTGGCGTTAGCCATCTGCAATCACAAGCATGATTTCTTTAACAACTCAGACACTGGGAAAGGGAAAATCTACACCAGCATTGCTAGAATGCTTACAAACACTTGAGTATTGTGAAATGGAACACAGCTGGAACCATGATAAACTCCACAAATGACAAGCATTCATTTGTTGAAGATATGGTGAATTATTTATTCAAATAATATAATAATAATCTTAGATTTTAAAAATAGAGGTGTGGCCAAATTGGGAAGACATATTTTGTGTCAAACTCACAGTCTTTGATTTTTTTATTAAAAGCTCTACATGATCCAAGTGTTTATATCTTATATCCTTGAATTGGGCTTCGACTAGAGAATAGCTTGGCGCCACTCCTGAATGGCTCTCTTATTGAATTTGTTTTTTTTAATATAGTTTTTTGTACATTTTTCTCCAAATAATTTCTCTTTGAGCCTGTGTGAGTGAGCTCTACCAGGCTCCATTCTACAAAATGGAAAGGCTAAGGTGTGGCATGATGTCAGGAGTCAGTCTTCCCCTTTCTGCGGTTGAGGGAAAACCTCAGAAAAGGAACAAATGATTCGATTTTTAAGGCATCAAAAACTTGACATTTATTTCGGGAATGTAACTGCGCCTCTTGGTGGACGTCTGCGCTCTACGAGTGCCATTCATCCAACCATCTTCACTTAATAAATCACATGGCCTCATTCACAGGACTCAACACTGGATTCAAAATCCAAGTAAACTTCTCTTCACCATTTCCTTCAGCAGAAGTAGCACCCATGTTTCTGTCATGGTCTCCTTTAGAAACATTTGAAATTCAGCTAGACTCAAATTCAGAACTTCCTGGTATCTAGTATCTAGGTTTGAAACTTGGAAACTCAGACTTTATCAAGGATGTGTGTAAGTTAAAGATAGCCTTAAGTGTAGAGCGGCGCATGAGGAGCATTAGCTCACTCGCTCTGATGGAGTGGCTTTTTCTGTTTGGCATGTCCACTATAAATATTAAAATGGATTATAAATGTCACCCCATCCTTGACTGTGGAACTGCAGCTCATAATAATACTTAAGATAAGGAACTAAGACATAAACCATTCAAAAAATAAAATCTCTCAAATATAGACCTGCCAGTGATATACATGTATATATATTATGTATTTTTTTAAACAATACATGTTTTTTTTTTTTTTATACCTTCTAAGCTTTTACTTTACATCAAGGAACCACTTGCACCAATACCACAACCATTAGGGGCAATGTGAGTTAAGTGTCTTGCCTAAAGACACAGCAATAGCATTCATCTGGGAACTGGAATCAAACCTGCTGGACAGTGGATCTGAGAGGTCACACACTGCATAAATGGAAATTAATTTGAATTATAATAGTCCAAAGAAATCAACTTTCTATTTCAATATGTATTAGTTTTATGCATGACATTAAAGACTAAATGAGAAAACGAACAAATGCCAATGAAACTAGGATTCAGAACAGCAGTGTGTAGCTCATGAATGGTTTTCCAAATAAATGCCATGACCAAAGACTGTTTATAGATGGACAATGCTAACACCCTCGCTCAATGAAGCCCAGGGAAGTGTTCATGGACGAAGCACTCTGTCAGTCCATGGCATTACACTGAACAAAACTAAATGATCTGTCAAAACAAAATATTCAGAGACGGAAAGACAATGTTAGCTTAGAATTAACCTTTTTATTCTCTATCCAGACACTTGAATCACAACCTCCTTCAGCTGTGATGGCCTGTTGCAGAAGTTGAGGGTAAAGAGCTACCTTCTATGAACGTACTGAGAACCTTGAGACATTAGAATTGTATACATTGACAAATATACGTTAGATTTATCACTGCTGACTTTAAATGCACCACAAAAGATGTGGATGCACTGTGAAGAAATGTCTGCTTCTATTTCGGGATATTCAACAGATCCTGAGAGACCGTCTGAGGCCAATGAAGGACAATATTAGTGCACTTAGGGGGTGCCAAAAGAACCATGAGACCTAACGGTAAGACATAGACTATGAATAACATTATTCAACAAGATGAGTCAACTTGTGGTTTTGCCGTTTACATTTATATTGAGTCCTGTATAAACGCTTTTTTTCCACATCTCAATGTGCATGGTAAGGTCATGATGCAATAATAAAATTACTTATTTATTAAATATAAATTTACCTTGTTTGATGTGTGGCAATGAATATTTTAGATACATTTTCATTCAGGAAAAATCTCCACACGAGGAGAGGAAGGGTGATAGGTGAGAGAGAAAGGGTTAACGGTTTTTCAACCTCTGGATTTGAGGGAAAATGAACCGATCACTGAGCCATACATGTTTTTCTTTATGTTAATCTCACAGATGAATATTTCCCTTTAAATTATACTGACAATGAATAACAAATCGATTTATTGAATTAATTAAATCAATACATCAATAATCAATAAACATGATTAGGCTGATAGAGTATAGCATGGATTTTTGAATGCATCTCTCAATCTGACTTTGGCAAATTACAGGTAATATTCTGCCAACTATTAACTGAATTACTATGTCTGTATTACAGCGCATAATTATCCAGTGAGTATGGGTTTTATTTAATATTTCAATACACACAGGAGCTTTCCAATTACAGCATCAGACCTCGAGAACTGTGCATTCAGGCTGTCACATATTGTTTACTGGATGTGCAGCTCGGCATCACAGGGAGAGTCCTAATGAACGGTGACAGGGGCTCTCATCAGCCTTCAACCAAACAATAACATACACAGATTTAATGTTATTATTTATTACTATTCCAACACAATGTACCTATTACTTTCACAATTATGAAAGACATTTGATGATAGTTCATTTTGATTTCCTATCTTTATACACAGCAAAGAGTTCATTCTCATACTCTTAACTAAACTAATTTCTTCTACTTTCAGTCCATACCAACAGCTCATGACCATAGGTGAGGGTGGGAACATGGATTGGCCGCTAAGTCTGATAAGTCTGATCTCAGAGGTTCACAAAAAGACATTCAGGAATTCAACAATTGTCTGCTTCTTGACATTATACCCAAGTCTGAGTTTCTTTTCCAGTCTTATTATATAGTTTAGATAAACTGTACAGGATCCACACACTAGTGGAAACACAATAGAGTGGTAGTAGAGTAATTATTCATTTCTGCAGAGGCATATTGACAGTTAGTAAAGAAAGAAGTTTCATCATAAGAGTGACTTTTTATTTCTCACTGACATAGTTTTTTGTGACCAGTTTTATTAATCAAACTTTATGGATAATATGTAGTAAAGCCGTCTCAAAAGCCCTGCATTGTTTCATTTAGTTTACAACACCATGTTAATTTAATAGAAGTAAGCATGCTAAATTGAATTGATAAAGTACAATGTATAATGTCAAGTACATCATTTATACAAAATTTACATTATATTGCTGTTTTGACTTAAATTAAATCTGTTTAGTCCTATTTAAGAAGAGAAAATAGTGGAAAAATCGTTTTATAATCTCATAACTTATAGTTACTCTAAAGCCCATCAACAGGTCAACAGTGCCACCTGCAGGTCAAAGGAAGAATGTGTACAGAGGAGACATCCATGCACGTTTAACCAGACTCTATGCAGACCTCTTTGCAATGCACCTTCTCCCACAAGGAAAATGCCAATGTGTGAGTGGATTTAGATAAATTAAAAGCATTTTCCGAAGCCTTCAGAGAATAACTCGGAACAAAACCCTTCAAAGGTATCTTAAGTAAAATTAAAGAAAATCCAAGCTCCCCAGGAGTGTGACTACAGGCAGGTATTTACGATGAGATGAAATTAAATATGTCTGCTCTAATACCTCATTTAGAGCCTCTTGTCTCGAGGGACTGGAATATAAACTAGCACGAAGAGAAGAAGACACCTGACTAGTCATCTAGAACATCACTGTGTGCAACAAGGAATAATGAAGCTCACACAAAAACACGCTGGCTTTTGACACAACAAAACTGCCAGAATAAAGGGAAGAGAGCGACATGTAATGGTGAATTTAAAAGACTCACCGTGGAAATATAAAATCACAGAATTTGATTTCACAATTGCCGTTTGGATGACATTTTCGTTACTGAAGTAAGTGGTAGTTTCATATTCTCCAAAGTATTATTCACCAAACAATTGCTTAGAACCCAATACACCAAAAATAAAACACAAAGTTACTTATAGTGGTTAAGATGACGCCCGTATTGATTCTCAAGAGTAATTATTTTTTCCTTATCACAAAATAATGTCTGATCAGAAAAAAATAATGTGCAACTGATAGCCAAATGGGTTTCAAAGCTGATATACCTCCTCCTGCATTCATAAAGATTCTAGTACATGTTGAGTTTGAGTGACATTAATATCTATTCATTGTGAAAAAAATCAGAATTATTAATATATTTTTTTTACATTATGTGTGTTCATCCAAAAATGTAGCATAATGCATTAAAACTTTTATCATTAAGTAGAAACGTTTGAGAGCCAGGAATACTATACAACAGGAATTCTGTTCAATGTTGACGCTTACTTGCAAATTAGAACACTTTTGTCAACCATTTCTCTTTTCCTTTGCATTGCTCCACATAGAATTGTTGTTATGACAAAATAATTGTCTTTCCAAAAGCTTCAATAGTAAGGAAGAATGATAAAAGAATACAACAACAGTTCAGCAGATTTTCAATAGCGTCTAAAAATCTATTCTGTTTGACACTGTACTTCTTGGATGAAAGCCCACCAACAAAAGCCAAATTCAGTCCAATTCTGGCAGCGGAGTGAACCTCTCCAGAGAGCAGAGCCGCCCTGGAGGATGCAGATAACAAGCTCCCTGATCTGCACTCTTTACACTACACTTACTGCAGCGCCAGATGCCTGTCTACCTCTGGGTCAAGACACACACCATGGGATTAGCATCTATTAGCCAAGAAAGTAGGCCAGAATGGACGAGCTGCTCATTTGCCACTAAGCTCTGACATGACATCTAGTTAAAATTAATGACTGTTAAAGAAGTAAGAAAACTTGTCCTTGAACTAGACATGAACGTCACAAAACAAGGGCCAAACAACTGCATGTGTCAGCCTCACAACTGCGTGTGCGTGCGTGCGTGTGCGTGCGTGTACCTCCGAATCCTCACTGCGGAGCCCGAGTTGCAGCACCGCACTGGGGGATTTCATCTTGGACTGGCTTGACTGGGCCATCAGCAAATTCAGCTGCCACCCCACATTTTCCAGCTGAAAAACACATACAATATTGTTGCACTACAAATACTTTCCAATATTTACTAGCGGTTCAAGTCACTAAAAAGAAAATAAGATAAAGGCCAATTGTTCATAGCAGGCCTGTCCAAACTACGGCCAGTGAGCAAACCGCCTGCTGTGTTAAATTATGTGGCCCTCAGCCTTACCAACACATGTCAAAATTCTCATCCAGCCAATTTCAGCTCCACTAATAGTTATGATATACTTTGTTGAAAAGCTCAGACTGGATTGTTGACTTACTGGCACTTGTTTTAGATTATAACACAAAATGGCATATATAGCGCTAATGTTGCTGTGTTAGGAATTAATATGGACATATCATACCCATTTTTAAAGCCCACAACAGCCAGAATCTTGTGAAAAGTGTTTTAATCCTAGTTGTTGGCCCAAGGACAAGTTTGGTGAACTAAAGAGGACAGAAGTTTGGACGCCCTAGATTTAGAGCATGTATTCTGACAACACCAGTGCTTAAGAAATTGCATAGGTCTGTGATTTAGGGACCACCAATCACATAGAAAAAACTGCAAATCAAATGCAAAATAGTAAAAGATTAGGTTCAATTTAGTTTTTCTTTTGCTAGGCTAGATGAACTGTAAGGGCCCCTGGAGACATGTGATGATGGCCCCAGGATACATGGACATAGGAAAACACATTAAACCCCCAAACACATGAAAAACATATAATTCACTTAGTAAATGTAATACAATTATACTTTTAGAGATAAAAAAAGCCACCATGAACAAATCAGCAGCTCAATGTCATGACTTACTGCTGTATATTGTATGAGCATGGATTTTTTTTTTTTACAGGCCAAGACTTTTTGTGGTCATTGTCCCTTTCTCCGACTAGTTGTTGAATTTACTGGTTTGACACCTCATCAACGCACTGTAACCTCTGATATATGTGCGACACTGAGCCGAGGCAGAGCTCTAAGTGTTTTACGATGGTGAGAGAAGCTATGATAAAACAGCCTCTGAGTTATAGGGTCTGAAGCCCATACAGCGTCTGTGGACGTCTGTGGCATTGTTATTTATGACCACAACAAAACAAGAGATTTGACAAGGATGCAAATGAAAAACAGTATATTACCAAGAGAGACAGGCAGTGCAACCCAAGTGCACTCTGGTGTGGACAATACAATAAAGAAATATTTGTATTTGATTACAACAAGCACTGATAACGTTTGGAGCCGTAACTTTGATTGTGCAACCCATTAGAGCCCATGTGTCAAAGTCAAGGCCCGCGGGCCAAATCCGGCCCGCGAATGAATTTTACATGGCCCGTTGCCTGCCATTGACGCACTATTACGTCAATTGCGTTTTCCGCTATTTTCATGTTCCCAGATGTCTATTATATCTAATAAGTTTGGGGATAAGCTTGAGAGCATATTGAATCGAGCCAGCAGGTGGCAGCAGCGCTCTCTGAATGGTTTGAAAACAGCTAGATGCACTTGTTGTGCCTCTTTTTTCTCAGCTTTTTGGTGATTTCAGTAAAACTTCCCTCTACTCAACTGGGGATTACAAGCAAGAAACAAAATTCTTTTTGCTGATGAAAGTAGACAGTCTATTCTTTCAGAATCTGGTTTCGGATTTCAGATAGTCATAGTACACAATATTCTGTGGGTCTTGAAAAATCTAAAAAAATCATCAGAAACTGCTGGCAATATGGGAGCACCTGTTCTGAAATAGGCAGCCTGGCAGGCAATGAGTTAACTCATTGCCTGCCAGCCTATTTCTGAAGAATTTCAGAAGAATAAACATTGAACCAGTCCGGCCCTCGGCTCGCAGCAAATTTGTTTTTTTGGCCCTCTGATGTATTTGACTTTGACATGCCTGCATTAGAGGATATAATAATGCCTGAAGAATATATGGATCTTGTCCATGCTTCCATAATTCTTAGTAACATGAGCATTGGATAGAAACACGAATAAACCAAGTAGGTATTGTTCAGTATCAAAGTGTATGAAATGACATAAGACAAATTGTGTTTTTTCTGCTCCATAGAGAAGATTCTATGGCAATATATGGTAAAAGCATCAATAATGCGACTTAAATTAACACATTGAAATGATGTTGCTTTATAAATAAACAACAGAAGTATGAATATTGTTGATTAGAATAATGATAACAGAATTAAATAACAAATATCAACATTAATACTTATTATCTTGTGTGATGAATAACTTGATAAATGTTTTAAAACAGTTGAGAAACTGAAAATCCACTGGAATAAACCTATTCGGTTTTGAAAATTGTTCATCTATGGATATGAAATTGTTCTTGCTTTTTGTTGTTACTAACCAGCCACCACCTGCAGACAATTTTGGATGGATAAAATGTTAATCTGTTAGTATGTAATAGAAGAAAAAACTTTTGCGATGGAGTCAGTGCTCATTGATAGACTACATTAGTAAATAGCAGGGGTTTTGCAAATGCAACAAGTGTTGATTATTTATGTAAATGCTCGTACAAACATTTCCTTACTGCAGGTTTAACTTAAACAGACAGAAAAAGAACAAACAAGACCCGTTTACATGTTTACACACCTGTGATTAACAAAATAACTTTTTCCAGACTGGAAAATAGATTTACCTTTTTGGGTGCAAATATGTTGTGCTTTAGTTTTTCCACCAGCTCAGGACCAGCACTCGCCCATGTTTGAGCAAAGACCTCTGCTTTGTCCTGGTCTAAATGAACAGACTCCAGCTGCTGCTGCAGAGATGCAGGCTTCACATTATGGTAAACGGCCTGCAGACAAAAGACACAAAAGATTATAAGTCATGAAGAATAATAATCATGACAAATATGGAAAATATCTCTCTTCGGATCATACTTTGATTCAAGATACAACAGTGACACCAAGTGGATGAACATGGAAAATCTAATAAAATATATTCCCATTTGTTACCTGTTCCAGAATGAAAGCGGAGGTCTCCAAAACAAGGCTCAGTGCTTGTTTATCAAAACACAAAGCTGATTGTAGCTTTTGCTCTTCTTCTTCACTAAACGTCCTCTCTCCCTGTGAACAATATCGTCATAATGTGTGTAGGTTTTGGAACAACATACAAGGAAAGTGGGCCATAGTCATATTTGTGGATTTTTAGTCTGTATAGTTTTATTTGCCTTCTCTTGCTAAGTTGTTTTCTTGTACAAATGTATAATGCGTACTTGTAGATTTAGTAAGTTTGTACAACTTCCTAATATATGCTATGTATTTGACAGCGCTACTTCATACTTCTTCTTATTCAGTTGATTGGTTTATATATAGAATTATATTAGCCTGTACAATCAAGGACCAAAGGGTTGGGTTATCTGTCAGCAGCCTTAATATAAACCATTAAAATCCCTTATTTTTCATGCTTTTGCTAGGATTAAAAACTACCATATAAATAATGTTGGATAAATTAATACTATTACCATATACATTCTTATTACACTCACATTTGCTAGTTTATCGACCTAGATAAAGGGGGCTTCGTTAATAAGTTTTTTGTGAAACTAGGACTAAAAGAAGTCGAAATGAACATCGCACGTACCTTCAGGTGGAGTCTCTGAATGATCCGTGAGATCAGCCTGGAGAACTTATTCACGTCAATAGTATTGATGAATCTCACAGCTTCTTTTATGCTTTAGGAAGATAGTTGTTCGACAACAATGAAGAACAGTTATTGGTCATTTAGATTGCATATGAATGGCATACAGTTTGGACTTTCACGAGCATAAGCAACAATAACCATTTAAAAATTTGTGCAATTCACAAATCAATGTAAGTTAGCTAAATAAAGTGTAACTTCAGTTAAGAGTCTGAAACAACGCAATTAGGCAGTATTCTATCAAATATTAAGATTTAAATCAATACCAACCTCTGTGTTTCTCTGATGATTGAAGCCATATTTATCTTTAAAGGTTTGTTTCTGTCAAAATCAAGAAGGCTGCAGCATCTTCACTGCAGCCACTTTACTTCCGGGTTGTCACGTGATCCGGATCATGGGATCAGAGTAAGCTGCGTAGAATTTCAATATCAAGAAATCATGAGACCCCACAGCCGAATTTAACAAAGAATACGTTTGCGTTGATCTTTGTAGCGTACATTTGGACCTAAGTAGCATACATTGTACTGAAAATACATGTTAAAAACATGTTAGCTCGTCTCATAAGGTCCCAGAGTTTTTTTGGATTCGGATTAGTCCAAATCTTTACAAAAATATTCACTTTTCATTCGGATCTAGCCTTTATCTGATTTATTTCATCCCCACTTTTGTTGTCAAAGTGGCAGTATTTCATATATAATACACATGGTTGTATTATATTATGGATAATACACAAATGCATTTTATTTGAATGCAACTAATATGAATCAGTCAAGTGTTCATTGAATTACACTTTATTAAAATCAAGCTGATATTGAAAGTAAGATAGAAAAAAGAAACAATGAAACAAAGATGAACAATTAAAATACACCCATCACACCACACTCCTTATTCAATAAAATGTATCATCTAGTAATATATATTTTGGATTTTATTTTCCTATAACATTATACTTTTCATCCTTGCTTGGATTGATACTTTGGTTTGAAAAAGCAAACCAATTCTTACAAAATTGCTCCCAGTTCACCACCACTCAGTTTATTGTACACAAAACAAACAAATCAGGCCACAAGCTGTCGCACATCTGCAGCTCAACATTAAGGACCGACCTCCAAAGAGGCAGCAGGAATGTACCACTGAGAAATAAATACTTCACTTTGTCAAAACAGAAATGAGGCAAAAAAAAACAACCAGCAAAGGAGTGTCAAATCACTCGGTACCTTCCATTAAGTGTATACTGTCATAAAAGTGAGTAGTTTGAGGTTTTGGTAAACAGAGTGCATCTTGGTAAACACGGGCGGCCCCTGCAGGCGATAGCTTTGCCACTATTTGAAGGAGGGCAAGTTTGGCACTTTTATACTGATGTCGCCTATGTTGATGTTTCGGGGCATTTCTGGGAGGTTCATGTTCTTTACAGCAGACACGGCGCGAGCGGGGGCCCCTGCTATCCCGGCCTGAACACAGAGAGGGAGAAGAGGTTATGAGTTTGAGCTACGAGTAATGAGCTTATCGAAGACAAAACGGTGACAAAGACGAAACAGCATTGCAGGGATGTCACGATATCACATTTTGAATTTGTATGTGTAGCACTTGTTTTCTTGTCACTCTCTTAGTTTCTCTCATTACAATATACTCAAAGTGCTTCTTGTATTTGAGACGAATTACAGTCAAATAATGGTAAACCTCACATAATTCAAGCATTATGAGTTGATTTTTGACAATGTTTGCGGTTAAATAAGATGTTTAATACGATTGCCGCAAACCTTAAAGCTGGAATACCCAACTTTCAAACTACAAAAAACACATACATATATTTTAGGCCTCCGTCCCATCTTTAGAGCAGCATTTTCAGCAACAACAACATGGATTATTTATGAAAAAATAAAAATTAGGTACCCCAGCTTTAAAGAAAGGCAATGTATCAATTAACATTGAGAACTAAATGAACTTGAGGGTTGGATTTTTTGGAACCTACAAGAAATTGATTATTATTTTTGGACCCAATCTTTATTGCTTCCAAAATGCAATGCAACAATGACTATATTTTACGTTCTTGTGATTACATTAATGCATTCTATTATCACTATTTTTGATTAACCAGATGATCATGACATCCCGGCGGCACAGAGCTAAAACAGAAAAGACACAATGCAAATGCACTGACAGCTACTTAAACACAGACAATGCAACAGACGTACGTTCAAATGCCTTCAGAGCCTCATATGCACATGCACAGTATAATTATTATTACTTACATCACAACCAGAGCCAATTATGAATCAAATGTGAGGGTATACTCGACCGTTCACCAATTTCAGTATTTGGTATTTGGTTACATCTATCAAAAGGCAGCAATGTTTGAAAAGTGGACCCAGCGGACTGTTCAGGACCGAGGGTAAAAATGCAGGGAGAGAATTGAGTAAAGCAGGAAATGTAATATGAAGACAAGACAATACTATCTGGGGAGATGCTATGGCAGAAAATATTTCTGCAAAATTTTGGCTGTAATACTGTACCAGATTGGATATACTGGTATGGAAACACCAAAACAAAGGCTACAAATCACAACAATAAAAGAAAATGACATAAATAAATAAGTGAATAGTAGATTACATAAATACTACACATTTAATTGCTACTTAGATGGTTGCAAGAACTACAGCATGAGGGGTGTATGTCACTACACTGTATTGAACTTAAAACAAGGGAATCACCTAAGGTAAACAGCTACATGAAGTTTCACCCATGTTTAGTTGTAATTCGACAAGATCTCCCCAAGGAATCTTCAGTGAACAAACCCAAAAAATAAATAAAAACCTTGACCCATCAATGTTTAGTTCTACTGAGAAGTTACTAACCAGACGGATAGGAATGTAGTCTCTTCATGTTAAGTTGAAGAATGAACCACTTGTTCGTAAGCTAGTGCTCTTGTCCGTAGGGCTTCAGTTAAAAGATGGGTCTTTTATTCAAAGCTAGTGAATACTTAAATGATTGAACCAATAACCAATGGGCATTTTTGGGTTTGCTTTGAAAAATTCCAACTGAATATGTTAGTAGTAGTAGTTCATTAAATGAAGGGCCATGTGGAGAGACTGGGGGACTTAAGTTTGGGTTAAAGTACTAGTTGTAAACTTAGCAGTACCTGTGTCTACCTGTCCTGTCTGGTAGACTGAAAGATAAACGTCTGTAAAGAGAAAGAAGAATGACAAGAACTAGACAGAGTCAGAAAAAGAGGAATGAGGAATGTTAAAGCAGATTAAAGTAATCACAGTTCATCTCCACAATAATGACCTATCATAGACCGCACTTTGGGAAAGAAACTGTAGCCGCTGTGCAGCTGAACGGAAAGTACAATTATTTCAACAAATTCAGATTTTACAAATATAACTTTATGTTCTACAGTTCACTACATACACGCGGTCTAAGATACGTCTGTGAGGGAAGAGACAGAGCAGCTCTGATCTGATTACAACAATCACACTTTACTATGACTACAGCCACAAATCACCTTCAATAAAAAAACAACATAAGCAGCTAACGGCTGAAAAAGAAGGATGCTCAAGCCCCATGTGGGCCAACATTAGTGCCATTCTGCTTCGGGGAATACTCAGATCCACATGGCGGAAATTTATCATGATGATTTCATGAAATTGTCTCTGGCTGTCAGTCAAAATGTACGTTTGCTATATTTAAAAAGGTTTACAGAAGCTGCATGGAAAGCAAAGCAATGTCCTTGCCAAGGGGCATCTTGGCAAGGACATTTAGATGTTAGGAGCACATTAGAAAGACAAGTGAAGACTTTAGGGGTGAGAAATTATTATAGCCACTACATAAGCCATACAATATTGTAATAAGATCCTGTCAACTGCCTGCTGTATGCTGAGTGATTTTGGAAACGTCTGACAATGGAACTGTATTTGCTGTTATGACAAATGGTGAGGCTGCATTTCAGAGATTCGTCAAGGGCGGTGCAGCAAGTTCGCGGAGCACAAACAGTCACTGGAGGAGCATGCAGGGTGCAGCATACACTCATGCCTGCATACATGTACAGAACCCAGAAGCTGCCCTACGGTGGCCAGGAGAGCACATACTCACCTCAGACTTCTCCATCTTGTTCTGAGCATCCACTTGTGTGATGATCTCATTCATGTTAGTCTCTAGGACCATGCCTCCCATCACCATCTCAGCCAGAATATTATGAACCTGCCAAAAGGATCAAGTTTGACAATAAGTTATTATTGTGTCCACAACAACGCACATATGTCTGAAAAAGCGTACAATAAATTACCAATAATAATAACAATAATAACAACAATGCGTTTCATTTTTAAAGACGTTTTTGGTTTCTTAAAAGAGAAAAGAACATTTACATTGCAGGCTGCAATGGTTAAAGGGCACCTTATTACACCAGCTGTATATGATTTACAATGCATTTCTGAATTCTACAGAGGTTTGTGTTTCAGTATTGTTGTTTACATAAATAGATTAGATGTTCACACAATCGTAATCTCAATTTGTAGTGATAGTGATGTGGCGATAAAATGTGTTTTTCGCACAGCAGACAAACAGAAGCTATCTTCAGAAATGTTACCTTATCTACATGGAAGATTAAGTCAAGTTCACAAACATTCTCAAAGCACTTGTCCAAAGTCTCCACAAAGACCTAGGCACAAACACAAGTTTAAGAGCAAAATCAACAAGTTTGCACATCATAATTACAGTTGGGGGTTAGATTTAGGGTTAGGGTTTTAATCTATGACATGCGGATTATTTAATTTAGTGTGAGTTCCAGAATGAGCAGTTCATTTGATCCTAAATTACCTGGATTAAGTCTAAGATTCCTAGTTCACTCTCAGATGAGTCCACGCAAAAGACAAAATATAAAGTTGCGTAGTGTCTGTAGATGAGCTTGTAGTCTGATCCTCCAATCAGCCTAAGAGACGATAAAACATTAACATTCAAAGGGTTAAATGATAACACACATAGACACAACATTAAAAAAAAATCCTCACTATTGTCCTCATTTGAATGTTTGATCTATAGACTGTGGCAGTGTTCTGAATCTGATAAAGGCTAAGGACGTCATGGGGGACTGGGTGCGCCTCAGAACAACACGTTAAATGGCCTGAACACATAGATCATAAAAATGTTGTAAAATGAATCGTAAAATGAATCGTATATATGTAAACAAAGACAAATCCATAAGATACTATGACTTTAGATAAAGACTGGAAATTAGACTAGTTCTATTGTTCTTGGAGAGTCTGACGGAAGGAAGATGCTGCAAGTTAACAATGAACATGCCACAAAGTGTGGCCACCAAACATGGTTAATATATGTTTTCAATAATGTAATGAATAATGTTCCATCCATCCATACATCCATCCATTTTCTTCCCCTTAATCAATTTCTGGGTCGGAGGGGGTGGCAGTCAGAGCTGCACCCAGTACACTTAGCACCAGCCCCTCACTGATCCTCCTGCAGGTGGTGAGTCCACAGGAGCTGAGATCTTTCAGTGGGAGCTTCAGGCAAAGTGGGGTCAATTGTCTTGCCCAAGGACACAACAACAGCAGTCATCAGTGGGAGTCGTGAAGTAGGTCTTATGGTGGGCTCGAACCCACGACCTTCAGGCTCAAAGGCCAATGCTCTACCAACTGAGCTACTGTCACCCCCAGAATAATGTTCCACTCTGTATCATTTCTCTACTTTCAAAGTACATGAATTAGATTGAATTTATTGTATAAGCTCCTACAGGCTCTACTGCTGATACTGAGATTATAAAGGCAGTAGATGGCTCACTATGACACACAAATAACTTCCATGTAAATGCTACGAACATGTAATTAAACAAAGGCTGGTAGTTTGTGCAGAGTAAAGAGATCACGTCTGATGTAAAACAACACCAGTTCCATGTTCATGAATGATGAATGAACACCACAGACCCACTGTTACTATGAACCGTCATACAAGACTGAATTGTTCTTTGCGGAAAGAACTAGAGCTACTAGAAGAAGTAGGTAAGTAAGTAAGTCATTACAAAGATACCTTCAAGACAAAAAAATGAAGTGTAAGGTTTTTGGGTCAGGTGCCCCTTTAAAGCTGGGGTACCTCACTTTTTTCTTTTTACACTATTACTTTTTGTAAAAGAAGAAAAATGGTGAACAAAACAGATAAAAATATCCTTTTTTCTCACTTTTCTGTTTGAAAAAGCTGCTCTTAAGCAACAGAGGCCAGGAATACAAGTGAAAACTAGTGATTGTTTTGAGAGTGAGGAACTAGTTACATGTTATCATCTCTGGCTCAATGTAAGAATATGTGGCAGGAAAACAGGTGCACTCATAACCACATCTGAAAAGTTATCCTTTTTTTAAGGGATTTTTGAAATATTTGAAGAATCCATTTACAACTTACATTCCACCTTCAAGGAAATTACAAACGTTTTCATCTCTTTTTGAGACCAAGTGAAAGGTTTCTCTAATGATCTGCTGCTCTGTGTCTTCTGACTGCAAGAGAAAGAACATGTAGAAGATTATAGCATCAATTCATTTTACTTGTGTTTAACTGAGGCAAATCTGTAAAAAACAATACAATAAATAGTAACATGAGCTAAAAGACAAAGCAAATAAGGAACTATTTACAGAAAAATAATGACCTCAACTTAATTAATTAGGGATGCACCAATACTGGCAGGTATTGGCGGTCACAAGGTGGGTCCAACACAAACACGTATAACACCAGCCTTGACTTGATCAAACATCTAAAAACTCACCTCTACGCAGAGTACAGCGCCAAGCGGCAAGTACTCAAATTAAGGTACTCGTACTCGTATCGGTTTTGAAAAAAGTGGTATTGGTGCATAATTAGTCATAACATGTTTGTGCTGTGTGTGTGTGTGTGTGTGTGTGTGTGTGTGTCTCTCTGTGTCTCTGTGTGTGTCTGTCTGTGTGTGCGTGTGTGTCTCTGTGTGTGTGTGTGTATGAGACTGGAAAGACAAATATTCTCTTGGTTCTTGGAGAGCTACTTTTGAAAGCCAATAGAGTGTCCCAAACCAGGGACCCACGGGGAACCACAGACTGCAAGCAGGCACCAAGAAGTACTGGATTTCGGAACAAATAATGTTCCAATTATGTCTCAATGAAAAATTGGCTTTGTAGTACATTATTTGTAGTACATCCTTAACAAGGATACACATTTGTATAACATAACGCAGTAACATAAACTGATCCTATAATAGTAATGGACACTATCCCACTAAACAAGTAGCAGTGGTTGAGATGGAAATTAGAAGGCACTCGAGACAATAAGGTCGGGAAATACTGGCATAATGCTTAAAACATGGAGACAAGGATTAATCACGCATATATACCATGGGCCGTAATTATGGAAATAGCATTATTGTAAATAGATAGTCGGCAAGCACAAGGAGAGGAGAAGCCTGGTGCAGTTAGTCATGTGATCTGCGCCATGGGACAAACGCTATTGTTGTACCTATGCGCGTGTCCTCTGCCTTAACATTGGAAAGCCTAAGAAAAGGCATACACTCTGTTTAAAGAAAGCTGATCAACTTTAAATGAATACTGTTCTGGCCATCTACATTATCTTATTTAGGCACAATTGTTCATTCCAGTTTATAAATAGACTGGTTGTATTGATTCTCCTTGGTGCCATCTGCAAGTCCCTGGACTTTTGCTGGATTTACGTGATACAGATTTGTGATTGCAGCAGTCGCTTCTCCGTAGACAGAGGCTGAAGACAGGTTATAACCATAGATCCATGGTTATAACTAACAGGGTAATAGTTTCTATTCTGCAACTCATCATTCTACTATATGCCACAATTATGCACTTATGTATGAGTAATAATGAGTCTGAATATGGCCTTTAATCATTATTTCATGAAAACAAGGCAGTTGTTTACTCAGCTCCATTTAAAACAAGAAAATAGCCTGATGAATTCCTTGGCTGACCTCAGATGCTGCTGGATGCAGATGGCTGTGGAACTGCTGGGAAAATCCACTGGCTTTGTGACATTTACTTTTTGAAACTGAAATGATTAACATTTGGTGACAGCTCCACAAACCTTTACTTTATATTGATTAACTATATTTTTTCAGCCTTAATATAAGACTGTAACATGACACCTTAGCTTTTCATGCAACAGATGGCTGCCCAGTATGGCAATAGGCCAAATTAATCCATAGTTTATTGTCCTCAATGCAGTTAAATATAATGTATTTCTCTAGAATACAGTGGTTTAACTATCTTTATCATATGTTTAAATAACCAAACCATAGTTGTCACCCATAAGCTATTAATGAAATAATCTGTTGATGAGAATGTTGTTGTTGGATCGCCTACGTCACTAGCCTATTGTCCTTACAATAAAGCAGGACACAACCAACCTTGACAAATAAATCCACTTAAGAATATGCCTGCGCAGCTAATCCTCCTAAGTATATTACATAAACGTGTCAATTGCTACCTGGATATTACGGTTGTTCAAGATTTGGTGAATATCATATATGGGCTAGTCTTTCAGTCGATCTGTAAAATAATGTGTAATATGCAAGCAATGACATCACCCGTGGCAAAAGGCACGAGTCTCTCACAAGGGCGTTAAGTCATGTGACCAAACAGTGGGAGCAGCGGTGCAGCAGCTGGATGTATGGCCATGGCCCTTTGCTTCCACAGAGAAAGCGGATAGCCTCGCCTCAGCTTGCATGCGTTTAATAATTCATGTTTTAAAGGAATCGCAGGCCTATCGAGTATTACGTTATAGTTTCTGAAAGGCTATTTCCCTGTCCAGCGCACATGCCGATCACGCTGTGGTCCGACACCTCTTTACACAATAACACGAATAAATGCTTGAAATTAGCCAATTAGTTTCACCAGCGACTGCTAAACATACAAGAAGATGTGAAGCTCGCAAAAGAACAGAATGTCAAAAAACTTACATAGTGCTCGTAGAATTTGGAGAGCCGCGGTTTCCCATGGTTGTTGAAGATGAGAATGGCTTTAATCATGATGGAAGCGGAGCGCAGGGACTCGGGAGCAGAGACAGACCAGTCTGCGGAGCCCGGGGTCCCAGCGCTGCAGGAATCAGGCCAGATCCGGGCGAAAGCAGGGCTAGAGCAAGGCTAAAGCAGGATAATTCAGATGGACCGCACACTCATCTCGCACATCGTCTCCACACGGAAATAGTCCACGTCAAATGTGTCTGCGGGCTCTGCCTCCTCCTACAGCAGCCGCGAGGGCTCAAACAAGACACCAATCTGTTTTTTGTTTTTTTCATGACACCAATCATAGATCACTCCATAATCAACTGTAGACTGTTGGTAATCCATCTCGGATAGATAGAGTACACAATTTAAATTATGTATTCAAATAATTAATTATAATTTGTAGATAGTTGTTTTCTGCACATTGAAAACAACAATAATTGTTGTCATTGTCTTTCTCATTTTTAAGAAAGACATCAATCAAAGTAAGTCAGCTGCACAACAACCACATATGCACGTATGTAGGCAACACAATGTAGTATGTACTTT